TTCTCTGAGGAGGTGACGTTTGAGAAGCGACCTAAATAATGAGAAGCCAGCCACAGGCAGATCAGGGGGACGAGTATGCCAGGTTGAGTGAACAGCAAGTGCCAAGGCCCTGACACTTAAAAGGCCATTGTTGGGAGAGCTGGGACTTCCTGGTTCTAGAAAGCAGCAGTCTTTGTCCCAACCCATCAGGGTGGTAGTAAAACAGAAAGATTCATAATCTTGGACAACCCTAACCTATTTACCCCTTTTGCACAGAGAGACCATGGGGTCCTGGGCCTAATCATCCACCTCTGCATTTAAGGAACCTAATTTAGAGGCTAGGAAAGGGAGGCCAGCCTACCCTGGACTGTTAGGGGGTCAGTGGATCATTTCCCTGTGCATAAACCGGGCGAGGGACAGTGCTAGGAGAGCAGTGACCTGTGAATCAGAGACTGTCATTCATTCGCCTATTTAATACATATTTATTAAGCCAGGCACTACGCGGACCCCAGAGATAAAGCAGCGGGCAAAATGAAGAAGAAGTCCCTCCTTACCCACATGTGGCTTATAGACTATTGGAAAAAGAAAGACAAAGCACAAATGAGCTAATAAATATGACTTTGTCGCATGGTGCTGAGTGCTTTGGGAAGCAAGAAAGCTGGGGAAAGTTGAGGGCAGGGGCAGTGTTGCTATTTTGTGACCAGAGTGGTCAGAGAAAGGGCTCTGGTAAGGTAAAAATTTTGAGCGGAGACCTGAAGGAAGTGAGGGAGTGACCCATGTAGATAACAAGGGAGGAATTTTCCAGGGAGGCGGAGGGGAATATGCAGGCCCTAACCCAGGAGCCTGGCCTGGGCCTTAGAGAAGCTCTGTGATCCAGATTCCTCCATGTCTCTAAGCTTCAGTTATCTAATCTGAGCAATGGGGATAATGACAGATCGGAATGCCTGCAATGGGACCGGCCCTGGCCTGCCGCTCAGGAGACTCCTATTAAACTGCTGCTTTGAGGACGCCGATGAGGACAGCGCTCTGGACAGCCCTCCAGACAGCTGGAGCATCAGCTACACAAAATGCTCATCATGGGAAGAGACAGGTAGATTCCCGGAGCAGAATAGGTGTGGACATCGGTACACATGACTATAAGGGTTTATTTCTTGATAAAGGTGCATCTCAAATTAGAGGCAAGAAAGAGGCCTCTATCTGATGCTACAGACCCAGATTTCATTTGGGATGCAAAGAGATGGGGGAGGCCTCTCTTTCCCCCCCCAGATATTCCATTGGGGGGCTTCACCTGCAAGAGATTGATTAAAAGCAATTAACACGAGTCCAGCCCTAAATGGTGTCCCCAGAACATTCCTAGTCACTCTCTCATCTGTTCTTCAAGGATGCAGCACAAGATCATATGTATATATATATGTGTATATATATATTTTTAAATGTTCACTCCCTGCCCATGATGAAGTCATTTAAACCCATCATAACAAATTAGAAAAAACGAAGAGAAAATGAAAAGCCCCCATGAGTCCACTGTACACATATATTTATTCTTTCCAAAACCAGGATCCTAGTGTGCACGCAGTTTTGTAAACTGCTGAGTTCACTTCACAATGTATTTTGAGTGTTTAAATATCCTTTGAAAACACAATTTCTGTTGGCTGTGTGCTATTCTTTAAAAAGCAGACACCACGATTTATTTAGCTGTTTCCCCAAAGTTGCTTATGTTCCAGACAGGTATTATCAAAACGTTTCTATAAATGATCTGCTGGCTTTTAAAACTCATTTCTGATTATTTCCTTGGCTAGATTCCTATAAGTGGAGTTGCCAGGTCAAAGGGCAGAATACATTCAAGAGTCTTGATGGATTATTTGCTAATTGCTTTCCAAAAAGCAGAAAACGCAGGGAGCCCGTGCTGGCGTCCCTACCGTCACCAGCATGAGCGTGATTTTTAGTTTTTATACTTTGGCAATTTGCTAGGCTGGCTTCATGCCAGGTGCCAGTGTTGAGCATTATGTAATATCGCCCTCACCGCTCCCCCCGCAAGGGAACACCCATTTAATAGACGAAGAAACTGGCTCAGAGAGCACACTCTCGACAGCCAGGGTCGCCTAGCCAGAAGGTAGTGGAGACCTGATTCAACCTCGGACATCTCCAACGCTAAATCGGGGTGACAGCGTGCTTGGACCCGGTTGGGAGCCTGGGCGATCTTGACGCGGCCTTTCTCTCCCTCCCCACTGGCCCCGTCTTGGTTCTCACCCGAGTGAATTTTCTAATCTGAGCAGATATGTGATGCTGTCGCACCCCTCCCCAGCGCTCGCTGCTCTTCGGGCATAAAGCCCAACTCTTAGGCGGACCTTTAAATCCATCCTCCAGGCGGCCCTTATACCAAAGCCGCGACGTGCCCCTGACCGCGGCCCCGACCCGCGCTCCGGCCACGCTGAGTCACTTTCGCGCCTCTAAATCCAGGAGGAGTAAGGCACCTGTGCCGCCGCCGGGGGGCTGCAGAAGAGCGGGTCCGGAGCTCTAGGGCAGAGCCTGTCACATGACTGCAGATTGCTTGACACTCAGGTCTCCGCTGCCTGAACGCGCTGGGCGGGCCTTGAGTCTGCGCGTCCCTAGCGCCACCGTGCGCGGTGCCCGCACACAGCGCCTAACGCAAAGGGGACGAATTGCCCAGGGATGTTACAGTTACAGACGGCTGAGTAACAAGTAAAGAAACGGGCATTGCTACTTAGTAACCACAGATCGTTTGACTCAGTGACTGTGGGGATACCGAGGGGAAAGGGTACCGCCGGGACGCGGGACAGAGTCATAATTAAAGGGTCCTTCACGGATTAAGATGAACGCAGTTTCTTATTATTGAACTCAGCCCTCCTCACCCCCTCTCGAGTCAAATTGGAGAAAAAACACTTTCTAACGGACTTCCCCAGCTCCTTCATTCTTCTGCCCGGCTGTTCTGGTCGCCCTCTCGCTGCGTCTCGGTCCCCGAATGTCCAGCGGCAGTCTGCACACCCCCCTCCCACCCCAGCCCCGCGCGGGGCCCCCAGATCGCGGGACAGTGGCGGCCGCGGGGAGGTCGGTTGGGATAGTCCTCCTCGAAGTCGCCCGCGATGTCCCTCCCAGACGACAGATCCCTCTGGACGACAGACGGACCTTGGGCTCACAGTCGTCCCTTACGGACACAGCGGGACAGAGAGTCTGAGCTGCCCAGGTTCCCATCGCAGCCCAGAACCGCGCCCGCGGCCGCGGAGGCGCCAGGTGAGCGGACGTCGCCCCCGCAGCGTGATCCGTGTGCGGGAGCTCGTCTCGCCGCGCGGTTAGCGGCACCGGAGCCTCCGGTCCTCCAGAGGGCGCTGCCCTCCCCGGCCCGCAGACCCGCCCTCCGAGGGGACAGGCCGGAGTGGAGTCGCGAGAGCTCCGGAGTCCGGAGCCGGAGTCCCGCAGCCTGCGCGCTACCCGCACGGTCGGTGGGAACGACGCGACTGCGGAGGGGGTGCGGGGAGGAGGCCGTGCAGTTCCCGGGGCCAAAGCCGCGCTGGGAGTCCAGGTGCGCGGGCCGAGGACGGCTGGGGGGACGCATGGAAGGCTTAGGGGCCGCTGTCATGGAGGCTGCGGGCTTCGCGGGCAGGTGGGGTTAGGGGGTGAGGTGCAATGCTGCAGTATCTGCAGAGGAAAGGGTTAGCAGAAAGGCTGGGGGAAAGGCAATTAGGGTGGAGGGAGGCCTTCCTCCTACCTGGGGGAGCGAAAGTGAAAGGCTGGGGGAGGGGGTGCTGCTGTTATTGCCACCAAATAGGCACAAAGGAGAGGGTGGGGGTATCGAAGCGGGGTGTGAGTGGGGCGGGGCTGGCGTCCGCGAGCGGCTGGCGCAGAGAAAGGCTGAAGGGGGAGGTGTGTTTGGGTCCGACGAATGGTGGGAGTTGGAGAGATGGAGGGCATGGTTGGGCATTTAAAGGAGGGACTGTGGGCAGGATTTGGAGGACATTGGTGGGGAGGTGCTTGACTCCTGCTGCTGCTGGCAGAATTGGGGGTGTAATGATGGGTTGGGGTGCAAATGTGGTATGCCGTGGGCAGGACTTGGAGTTAGAGCTCCGCTGGCAGTATCTGAGGGCCGGGGATTGGGGTGGGCAACCATGGACAGGAGAACGGGACTGCGCTGTGTCGGGGATCCCAGCCTCACTCCCCTTCCTTTCCCCAGACGCCATGTTCAACCAGCAGCAGCAGCAGCAGCTCCAGCAGCTGCAGCAGCAGCTGCAACAGCAGCAGCAGTTGCTGCAGCTCCAGCAGCTGCTCCAGCAGTCCCCGCCGCAGGCCCCGCTGGCCATGGCGGTCAGCCGGTGAGTTCCTCCTAGGAGGGTTGGATGGCTCTAGCCCTGCCACTCGGATCCATGCCTCGGAGAAGCCCCTTCCCAGCCCTTTCTCCCAGGGGCACGCCCGTTTGAGCCCTGCGGGTCATCAAACGGGGGCAGAGAATGCGGCCCTGACTCTCCTAGTGATCTTCTGACACCTGCTCTCAACACAGGGGGCTCCCCCAGCAGCCGCCGCAGCAGCAGCTTCTGAATCTCCAGGGTACCAGCTCGGCTTCCCTCCTCAATGGCTCTGTGCTACAGAGAGCTTTGCTTTTGCAGCAGTTGCAAGGTATGGCCACAGGCCCTTCTCACTCTGTCTTAGTGGCAGCTTCCGAGCAGCGCCATCACATTAAATCCCAAGAGGGATTTAATGTGTACGCCCGGGCAGCTTCCGAGCAGCGCCATCACATTAAATCCCATACAGTACGCCCAAGAGGGGGATACTGTCGGCATCCCAGTTTACAGACGAGGACACTGAGGCTCTAGGAGGGGCAAGGCTCTAAAATACTCAGCTGCATGCAGGTCTGTCTGATCACAGAAGTGTGCCCTTGACTGTGGTTCTGGCTCTGTGGGCAGCACTCAGACACTTCACTCACATTTAGATAAGATGAGACGATGGATGGAAAGATCTGTTTTAACCAACCTCCTCTTCATCCCAGTTGACAGATGAGGAAGCAGAGGTCCAGAGAAGGGAAATCATTTGCCCTGGGTCACATAGCACCAGAAGTGGCTGAGCTAGACTAAGGCCTAGGCCTCCTGGCCCCCTGGATCTCTGAGTGGGTGTCTGTAGCCCTGTGAATTAAGCCTGTGCTCTTGCCTCAGTTTCCCCATGTGGAGAGCAGTGTCTCAGCTCTTCCTTCTAAGATGCTGCTTCTGATACCTTGGCCCCTGTAGGAGTAATCCAGGGCTCCAAGGACTTAAGGCTAGCTCATGTTCAGACGCAGCCCTTCCCACAGGGTAGGTGTGACTTGCCAGGCTGGGCCCTGTGCCAAGGCCTTTACAAACCCAATTCCTTGACTCTACTGACAGTCGTAAGGGAAGATACTCTCACAATCCCATTTTGCAGATGACGAAACTGAGGCTCGGAGAGAGGTCATGTGCCCAAGGTCATATAGCAAGTAGGTGTTGCTTAGAGGGAGAATTAGCCCAGGTCTCACTACAGAGCTGTGTTCTTAGACACTAGCCATCCAGCAGTGTATGCAGCCAGGTCAGAAGATGTGACCGTTGTCACTCTTCAGCCTTGCCACTGTCAGATGGCAGCTGACTTAGAAATGACAGCTGAACGGGTGGAGAGATAAAACCATATGCAGGAACCCACAATGTATACAGATATAGTTCCCTCTTTTTCTTTTCCATTTTAAGTCACACTCTTCAAAGAAAAATGAAAAAAAAAATTTTTTAAAAAGATAAAACTGAAATTATCATATGTGTACTCACCTTCTGAAGAAAAGAACCACCTGTCAAGGTCTTGTGTATTTCCTCTCATTTTTTTCTAGGCACAAACAGAGATTTGTATATGATCGTGGTTAGGGATATAAGTGAAAGGCTGTATCTTGTTTCTTTTTCACTGACTAGAATGGCATGATCATTTATCATATAATTTGACAGCCTCTGTAAAGATTATTTTTAACAGCTGTTTAATATTCTGGAGAAATGTGCTCTCATTTACCTAAACCTTCTCAGCTGTCTCCTCTTTTTTTTCTGTTTTAAATAACACTAGTGGGAATTTCATGTTTGAGACTATTTTCTTAGAATGGATTCCCAAGGGTAGAATGACTGGGTCAGGGGGGATGGATGTTTTATGGCTCTTGATAAGTTTTGCCAAATTGCTTTCCCAAAGGACTGGACCAGTTTGCAATGCCACCAGCAACGTATGACAGTGCCGGTCTCACCATGCCCACGGCAACATTGGGTATTATATGCTTTTCTTTATATATAGTTATATGCATCATTTACTAATTTGGTTGGCAAAAAAAACCCTGTATCATTAATGTTTTAGTTTACGTTTCTTGGAGTGCTAGTACAGTTTAACATTTTATATTTGTCTGTTAAACATTTGTATTTCTTTTTGTGACTTGTCCATGTCCTTTGTCATTTTTATTTTAGAGTGTGCCATCTTTTATCTTGCTGTTTTTAAGAGCTGGTCAGCATTCTCTCTCTGCACATAGATGTGTATCTAATTGTTTTAAATTAATGTTAATTGAACGCTTACTGTATACCAGGCACATACGTATATCTCATTGAATCCTCATAAAACACTGTGAGTCAAGCACTATTATCCTCATTTTACAGACGAGGGAACTGAGGCTAAGAAGGGGGTACTGATTTGCTCCAGGTCATAGAGTGTGTACCGTAGAGTCTGGATTTGAGCCAGCTCTCACAGCACATCTGACCCATGCCTTTAACCCCTGTGCTTCTCGTCTCAGCAGTGGGGCAAGAATTTGAACTATCTTATGAGGCTCAAAAACTTCCCAGGCACTGGGCTCCCAAGTCTGATAAGGGCCCTGCCCTTAAAGAAGTCCCAGTGTGGTTAGATGGTGGGCGGTGGGCATAGAAATTGTGCAGCTGGTCATAGAACAGGCCATCTGGGGCCTCTGGGGACACAGAGAGGGTCTGGGAAAGCCTCCCAGAGAAGAAACGCCTACATAGAAGTCTGAAGGATGACTGGGAGATAGTGGGGGCAGAAAGCCCCAGGTGGAAGGAACAGCATGTGCAAAGGCCCAGAGGCAGGAAAGAAACTAGGCTTGTTTGAGGGAATCATGGGAACATATGGCTGGAGTTTAGTTGGGGCATGTAGGAGGAGAATGGCAAGAAGGGAGTCCAGAGAGGAGGGCAGGGCCAGACCTCTCACCATGAGCAACCCTCCTACTATGGAAGGGTTTAGGTGGCACGGTGTGGGGCGGGGG